GAATTATGATAATCATTGTTTAGGTGGATTATGTATGACAGAACCAGAAAGTATAGCAATGGTGTTGGAATTTTTAACCCTTGTGTGCTCGGAAGGTAGAATGCGCGATTGGCTTGGAAAAGAAGGGCGTGGATTTTGGTTACCCCTTCTTTCTCTTCTTAGTAATCGACCTGTAGAAAATCCATCGTTGTCTTCTTTAAGGTTGTATCATATAGACTTTATTTATATTATCTCAGAGGAAATAAAATGAGAATTGGATTACTAAAAAGATTCTTATATTTTACAGATGTTCCAAAACGAGTATATCATACGCGTCATTAGAAAGTGCAATGATTAAGTTTTTATCCAGGTGTTGTTGGTGCCATCTCGAAAATCAAAAATTATTAGCCGAATTATTAACCGATGTTATTTCTCAACAACGAACGACTTCCAGTAAGACGTGATTCTACATATTTCAGTTCACATTGTTTTTCATTTCACGTACTATACGTTTATTGAACAGATGTGCGCTACCTTCATGGGATTTCGGGTTTCACGAGGCGATTGATTTTACAATTATTATTGGAAGGTGAAAAAGTCTTAGTGTCCGTAACTTCCGATGCACCTATGAAAGTTTCAAACACAGCAGTCAATTATAGTATGCTGTCTATGCCTCCACATCCAGCTCATCCACTCGGACATTATCATCAATTACTATATATGTCTACCCAATCAACCGTTGCGGATATATTGCAACAAGTTTCTGGTGACTTGAATTTCAGTTTTATTTCCTTCCATTGATAATAATTACACTCGCTATGTAATCTCTAACAAAATTCAAAATGTTCCTTAAAGGTACATGGCTTTTTTTACTGTTGCCAAATACGTATAAGGGCACTGACACTGGAGCAAATAATAATCGTTCTAGAGAACTTTGGGAATCCGGTATGGCCTTTATAGTAGATACTCTTAGCGTAGCTGCAGGAAATACAGCGAAAGATAAAAGAGCTAAAGAAGCATCTAACAGGTCACAAGCTCGTGGCCCTATCATAAGAAAGTCACGTGCAAATTCTGGTAAATCAATTTGTTATCTGTAATGTATTCGAATATGTAAAATGTAAGCAAATTAAGATCAATCTATTTGAGATTCTTTATCAATAGATGCAGCAGCAAGTACAAGTAAAACATCGACGAATAACGTTCAGCAGAATTCTACCAATTCTACTAATCAACAGTATTTGATACATTCATCACGCCCAAATACTCCTTTACCACCGCAGCTGACCATTGCCCAGCTTTTGGCTATTGCCGAAGACAGTGGGATATCTTTATCAGAACCTTGTTTGCACCTTATACTGCGTCAACGTAATAAAGATTCGAAAGGTATTACATTAAACGTCGAGGGAAGAACGTCGTTCGTGTTTACAATTGCCTTTTTTTTTTTCTTTATCTTTCAGAGGATATAACGAAACAAAACGACAGCGAGTTACTGAATTATAGAAGTATAGAAAGCTCGTTGGGTATTTTCAGCGCGGGTGGTGGTTTAGCGGTGTTAGCCCGGCATTTACCGTTGGTGTATCCAGACTCTAGACCGCCACCCGTCCCGTTACCCTCGCCAGAGCAAACATACGAGGAGTGGGTGAAATTAGGAATCACCGACGACGCTTGCGAAGTTGTGGAAGAAAGTGGGAATAATTCCTCTCCGTGGGCATCGTCACCAGCAGCTTACGTGCCACCGCATTCCCTCGCTGCTTTTGGGTTATTCCTCAGGCTTCCGGGTTACGCAGAAGTACTGCTGAGAGATCGGAAACGGGCACAGTGTTTGTTACGCCTTGCTCTGGGTGTTTCGGACGACGGTGAGGGTGGTGATGTCTTAACATCGCCATTGGCCGCGTTGTTACCAACCTTGCCGTTCCAAGTTCTGAAACAATTGCTTGACGCCACGCCCGCGACCACCGACGATGGTCTGCTTTTGCGTAAAACGACCATCGAAGTGGGTGCTATGCTTTTGCTGTTGAACTGTTTGGCCGTGTTTACCCATCAAACGAATCAGAACGAAAACCCGGAGCAAAAAGTAGCTGGCAATCAGGGTGAGGCAGGACGTAGCGACGATAATTCGCATTTGTACTGGGCGAAAGGTACAGGATTTGGCACCGGGTCTACGCAGCAATCGTGGAACGTCGAGCAAGCTTTGATGCGACAGAGATCCGAGGAGGAACACGTTACAGTATTACTACAAGTTCTAGCGAGCTACATCGGTTCCGGTGGACAAACACAAATAGAACTGCCAGCGTCTTTCTCCGATCTGCTAGCCCGATCGTGTTTACTTCCAGCCTTGTCTTCGTATCTGAGAAACGACTCGGTGTTGGATATGGCGAGGCACATTCCCTTGTATCGAGCAGTATTGCAGCTGCTCAGAGCTATGGCCCTGTCGAATCAATTAGTTCCGCTTTTGTTACCTAGAGGCGGAAAGTCTGGCGAGCCGTCCGTCGTGTCGCTTTTGTCCAGTATGAGGGTTTGCGTGGACACGTACGTTCACAAGATTAATCGCACCAGGAGTAACAAGTCGAAAACGTTGTTCAAATATCCGGACGATACCGAGCAGGACGAAGGTTTAGCAACTTTGATCCCTGACATCCAGGAGAGTGCCACCATAGTGCAAAATGCTACTTCCAGATTGTCAGGAATCGAAGAAGAACTGCCTGGCCCCAGTCCCACGGCTCCAGAATTACCTCTACGTTCTATCGAACAACGATACATAGAAGTTATGAAAAATTTACAATTTGGTAAGGGAACGTGTTCCTTCTGCAATCTATCCACTCATTATCCTCTATGTACATTTTTATATTAATATGCATAACGTTACGCACAATTGTAGATACATATGAAATGATTACCGAGAATCCAGAAGCTGGTGGATACAAGTTTGCCGTCTCGTATCACTTTGAATCCACCATGAGGGCAGCTGGTGAAAGAAGCCATCCAATGAGAGTCAAGAGATTGGCGCAAGAAGCTGTTACACTTTCCACTGCGTTACCTTTGTCATACAGTAGTAGTGTCTTCGTTAGGTGCGACGCAGATAGATTAGACGTAATGAAGGTACTTTGGCAAATGAACCGACACAGTAGAAACTATTTTGTTTTACGTTGTTGATGTCAAAATTATCTGCTCTCTCTCAGGTGCTCATAACAGGGCCAGCGGAAACACCATACGCGAACGGTTGTTTCGAGTTTGACGTGTACTTTCCTCCGGACTATCCAAACAGCCCGATGTTAATAAATTTAGAAACTACTGGTCGCCATACCGTACGATTTAACCCAAATCTATACAACGACGGGAAAGTCTGCTTGAGCGTATTGAATACATGGCACGGTCGCCCTGAAGAAAAATGGAATGCACACACTAGTAGTTTCCTGCAGGTGAGTGTGTTGACAACACTGACAATCGACTATAACGTATACAGCTGGTACGTCAACTTACTAACCGATTGAAACCGTTAAAACAGGTCTTAGTGTCGATACAGTCGTTGATTTTGGTATCAGAGCCTTATTTCAACGAACCAGGATACGAACGATCACGAGGTACGACGAGCGGGGCTCAATCTAGTCAGGAGTACAACGCGAACATTTGTCAGGCTACTGCTAAGTGGGCAATGCTCGATCAAATTCGCAATCCATGCCCTTGTTTCAAAGAGGTAATTACATTTACAGCCATTTGCACACTACGTGTGTAATAATACGAAATAAATGAATATGAATATGAATAACGTTGCTCGTCCGCGACCCACAGGTTATACATACTCACTTTTGGATAAAGAGGCACGAAATTGTTGCACAATTAGAAGGATGGATAAGGGATATGGAACTGCACGGATCAGATCGCAGATTTGGCCGCACTCTTTCTCTCAACGCGTTAGCTTTAAGGGTAATCAACGACTTTTACGTATTTGAACTTTTACACGTGTGTGATTAGGGGCGGTGTGTGTCGCAGTCCTTCCATTTTACAATACTTTCCAGAGACACTACAGTTTGTTGAGGGAAGAGCTGAGTAAATTACCAACACCCGAAGGTCTAGAGGATTTGGTGGAGCCACTCGCGTCACCGGGCTCTCCGATCGAACTCTCTAGCACTCCTGGCACCCCGAACACGCCGCCAGCGTCGACGGTTCTACCAACCAGCACGCCAATTAATAACTCTGTCGATTCCATCAGCAATGCCAGTGCTAGCACTCACGTGCACCACGACATCGACACGGACGTTGAGATGGAGAAGATGGTTTCAAAAGTGTGTGAATAGCTAAAGGATGTTAATAGACATTGTTGGACATTTTAAAAAGTCTATATTGTTTGTGTTATGACGGACAAATAACGGACTGACGGGAAGATGAAAGGAAATCCTAGTACACGGGCAAATTTCAGTTGTTTGACGGATGGTTAGATGAATGAAAGATTACAGTATCCTTTCGTTGAACACATGGCGGTATCGATGAATTGTGGACAATTTGAGAAATGAAGAGAATAAACGTGTGCGTGAATGCGTATGTGATGTGTGTACGTCGATGAAAGATTTGGTAAAAACGAAAAAAAAAAA